AAAATTTCCATTTGCCAGATGAGTAAACTGAGGCTCAGAGAAGTGAAGTCACTTGCTCAAGGCCACACAGCAGGTAAGTGGCAGAGCTGGATTCTCCCTAGGAAATCCACACCCTCCTGCTCCAGAATGAACACGGGTTGCTGTGTTGGAGGGAAGGGGGCCTAGTCTGTCCCATGGCCTCTGCCTGGGCCAGGCCTCCCTCCCCTCTCTCCCTCCCTGTCCCCCCCTCCCTCTCTCTCATCACTGATGGAGAGTTACCGTTCGGCTTATTAGGCAGACAGTCAAAGAGGACGGGCTGGCAGGCAACTGTGCCGCCCTCCCCTGCTGAGGCACATGAATGTGTTGTGATTAAAGACAAAGCCCCGACCCGAGCAGCGCCCGAGCACCTGAAACAGCACCGCACCCGCTCCGCAGGCAGCCCCGGGGTGGGCCGCTCCCTCGCCCCTCCAGCCCCCCGCGCCTTCCCGTTGGGCTGGGACTGCGCCTCCCCTCTGGGGGACCTTGCCTTCTGTCTTTATTTACCGTCTGAACATCTTTAAACAAAAAGAAGTGTTTCCGTTGGCTTTCTATTACGTTAAGCCTGGAGAAGCTAACTAATCCCTGAGTTGTTGCCAAAGTAACTGAATTTTCTAACTTTTGAAGGTAAAGATAGAGATCGGCTCTGCTAGGCCTCAGATAAATGTGCTCGTGGTAGAGGAAGATGGATTTCTCCAGGCTGAGCGTCCCCGCAGGGACTGCGTGGGAAGAGGCTGGGGGCTGAGGGGAGCAGGCGAGCAAACAAAAAGCCCGTNCCCCCAGGGTCAACCCAAGGCCCCGGAGCTGCTGGGCAGCTGCGTCAGGGGCCCATCCTGACATTCATCAACACTGGCTCTGTGAAGGGTATAATTAACTTCCTGTTTCAATGGAGGGATAATGAGTTTTAAGCACCACGTGACTCCGTAAGGAGGTCAAAAGGCAGCAAGGATGTCAAAATAAATTAAGTTAGGAATCAGGAGGCTGCCTGCAACAGGGGCAGAGAAGAAGCTGGCCCAGAGTCAACTAGATGCAGCCTGGGCCGCCCCAGGCTGGTGGGAGGTGGGTGGGCTGCCGCCTCGGCTGCCCCCGTTCTGGATGGGCTGCTCTGGCCTTGGAGACGGGACCGGGGCAGCTCTGCCTGCAGTTGAGGATTCCGTCTGAGGGACAGTGGAGAGTCAGCATGGGACCACCCCAGACAAGCCCCTGCTCCTGGGCCTGGCGGTCGGTCCTCTGCAAAGCTAGCATCTCTAACACGCCACACCCTCTGATATCCTTGGACACAAAGGCTGTTGCCTGGAGACCATCTGTCCTAGGTCCTTGGGTATTAGCTAGAGCCACGGTTTCATGCAGCTGCCCAAGCATGGTCCACTGACCCCGTGAGGCAAGGCAGTACTGGGAGCAAGTATTATCTGGAAGGAAGCATTATCTGGACATTTCCCAACTCTGAGAGCTGGGGTCACGTGGTTATATCACCAGATAGGAAATGCACACTTACCCACAGGAAGACTTCCTTTCTTTCTCCTTTCCCCCTGCCCTGTTCCCTCCCCTCCTCCTCTGCTCCCACTCCCTGGCCCTGCTCCCTTCCTTTCTCCCTTGTCCCTTTCTTCCTTCTTCCCACCTACAAACATGTATTGAGCTCCTACTTTAGGCACTAAAGGTAAAGCCATGAACACACATGACACATCAATGAGAGTCTAGCCGCAGAAGGCCAATAGCCACAATTAAGGAGTGGGCCCGAGAGCACACCACAGGGTCAAATGTGCTATAAAGCAGGATGGGGCCTGCAGAGGCACTGGGGATGCAGGAGGCTGCAGGTAGGAGGTGTCATTTGAGTACAGACCTGAAGGAGGAGCCAAGTGCTTGCTGGGTGGAGAGGAAGGCAGAGGAAAGAGACCCACCAGTCCAGCCACATTACTTAGGCCTAAGAGGGAGTCTCCGAGTGTCATGGCTGGGAGGGTTTTTGGTGATCGTTGTGCTCATTTAATGAGTGGGAAAACTGAGGTGCTGAGCCTGAAGTCTCCTGCCTCCCAGTCCAGAGCTTGGTCATCCTCGGTGCCAGTGGCTCAACACACCTGCCCTCCCCGCTAGGCCCCAGACATGGATCTGGGGGTCTTTTGGCAGGGCAGGCCAAGATGCAGTTTGTTCAGGTCCAGCTAAGCCCTGGCCCTTGGGAAGCCTAGTCCTGTCTCCTCTCTGCCTGGGGGCTCTGGGGAGGAGACCTGTGGCCTTGAGCTGCAGTGCACAAGGCCGTACCAGCTAGTCAGTGAGGTAGACAATGCTCTGTGGGAAAAAGACCATGGCCTTGGGCGCCCAGGCTCCGTGGGCAGAAAAGAGAGATGGCCCTGAGGAGCTCAGCATGGCTGCTTGGGACCACCATCCCCACAGCAGCTGGACCTCGGGTCGTGAGGCCAGGCTTCTGCAGAGAATGTGCTGCCCACCCACTGGACAGGCAGAGAAATGGGAGTCATGCGGCCTCAGAGTTAGATTTTCAGAGCCCAGATGCAGCACATTCACAGGTGACATGGGCAGGACAAATGTGTCTCCAAGTCCTATCCCATCATGAGGGGTGCTTCAAGGAATCCTGACACTGGCCACTCCAGAGTGCCAAGGATTCGCCCCTTCCCTGGTGGCTGTCTGCTTCTCTGAGGCCAGCTCTGTGGGATCCTTTCCATTGGATTTTTCCCACTGTGTGAACATGGCCTTCTGCACACTTTCCTGGGATCCAGGCTCTCTAAGCTAAGGCATTGGTGGCCCCAGAAGCTGAGATAAGCCCACAGTAGTAACATTTTCCAGTAGGTTCCCCAGGTAGATGTGCCCAGCAAAGCTCCCCCTCTATGGGACCTGGGGGGATGGAGGCTGGCCTGCCACTCCACCACCAGCTGCTCTCCCTCTGGCTGCCCTGACCACCCAAGTCCAGGCACACCCTTGTTCTCTGGCTTTCCCAGCCTATCCCCTCCACTTGCACCTCCTCACTTGGTCACAGGCACCATTTTCTCTCCTGCCTGCCTCTGAGCTGGTGGGGCCAAGAGATCGTTGGATCAGGCTTTGGGACCTATTAGAAGATGTAGTTGAACAGCACAGCCATTTATGTGACCTTCTGCTAGCACACCCTCTGCCTCGGGGCAGCCCCCGGAGGGACACTGCAGGCTTCTTAGATGTGAACCAAGGCAGAAGCAGCCCTGCCTGAGGACATTCAGGGGCAAGTGGGGGGCTGTGCCCTGTTTTCTCAGCTGTAGGATGGCCTGTAACTTCCTCAGGTCCTCAGGGAGCAGTGGCCCTGCTCTTGCCCAAACCCTCTCCCATCCTCACCTAGCCCATTCCATGTCTCAAACAGGCCCTTTGGGATGCCTGCCTGCCTGTTTGCTTGTGTGTGGGGCTGCATGGCATGTTGGTGTAAGGCCATGGAGGGGTGCACACGCATGTGCAGTAAGCTTGGGTTTCTGAGCCTGTTGGTGAGGCGGAAAGCGGGTGGGGCTGCAGCAGGTGTCTGTTGTGTTTGCATGCGAAAGTAGCGGGTGACTCCAGGCCTGGAGTCCAGCTGCCTGGCCCAGGTGCCAGTCTAGCTGGGCAAATGCTGCCACCTGCTGGCCAGTTGTGCATGTCCACACTGGGGGCTCTGGCCGCAGGAGGGGGCTCCTGCCACAGGAGAAGAGTGGCTTGTTCACGCCAGTCCCTGAGCAGACTGGAGCCATGATGGGTCCCCAAATATTGTGAGCATCAGCACCCCAAGGGTATGTGACATCATAGAGTGCTCACCCACCCCAGAGCCTTTAATTGCAATTTGGGGCAGAGCCTGGAATGTCCAGGCTGCCGGCCCCAGGCCCTGCCAGAGGTATGGCGGACTAAACTCAGGGCACCCAGGAATGGGAGCACCCAGTCTTGTGAACCCGCCAGGCCTCATGGGTCTCCATGTCGAGTCCCCAGACAGCCTTTCTGAAACATGGCTCAAACTCCTCCACCCCAACTCCACCCCCTCTCCTTTGTGTGGCACTCGGGGCCCTTCCCATCCCTGATCTCCAAGCCTGTCTGAGGTCTTGCCAGAGAGACGGCCCCAAAAAGACCAAAGCCCCCTACCCCTGATAGAATCTGGAAATCTCTGAGGGGCGGAGCTGCAACTGGCTCCTTTCCCTGTGCAGAATAGGTGTGTAAATGGGAGGTGGATGGCCAGGTCCCTCATTGAGTCCCTCATGGCTGCCCACCTGTGGCTGGGGCACACCAATGGGAAGGGCTAAGGCTGAGGGAGAGGACCTGGGAAGAGTGTTCCTGGTGGAGAGGAACTGCCCAGGCAAGGGCCTGCTGGGATGCAGGTGAGGCAGGCAGGGGAGTGCCAGGGGCCTGGACAAAAGTGATGAGAACCCAGTGACAGTTTTATAGGTGGGATCCCTCTCCCTGCAGAAAGGGCTTGGTGAGGCTCTCCTCCTCTACCCAGTGAGTGTTATTGGGGGCCTGCTCTGAGCAGCACCCCTCATGCCCGGGCCCAGGTGTCCATCAGGGGCAGCACCTGATGGGTGCCTGACTCTGAACCAGCCTCACTTGCCTCCCAGGCACTTGTCCAAGGCACTGGAGTCTTTGAGGAGGCCTTCAGGATATGGTGGGGCCCGGGAATCTGAGCCTGTGGTCGGGGGTGGGGGGTGTCTCCTGGTTTTACCCCTCATGCTGCCTCTGCTGGCTCCCCATGTCCCCTAAACTGAGCTGCGTGAATGATCTCCCATCTCTCCCGCTTTGCTCCTCAAGAGCCCCAGACCAGGGCTGTGAAACATCAGAAACAAAGTGAGCTGCCCTCTGGCATTATCTGTACCATGTTAACAATCCTGGAGGGGCAGGTGGGACCACTTTGCTGCTTCAGGGAGGCTCTCCAGGGCCAGGTAGTCCTGGTGACAGGACAAAAGTGGCAGCTGAAGCCAACACTTTATGCTCCAGGTTCTGGGTTTGGGTGGGCAGGTAGGGTAGGGCTGGTTGGAGGACCGACGCCACACAGCAGAGGCTTTCTGTGAAAATAGTGGGAATATATTTGACAGGATGAGTTTGCTGTGATCCGTACAGTACAGCCTCAGAGTTCCCCCATGTTTTATTTATCAGCACTAAAGAGGCATTCTGAGTGGCACACAATGCCTTCTAGAAAGGAGATTGGGGCCTAATCTGGTCTCTTTCAAAATACCAAAATAAAAACTTTTGACATGCACATGGTACCCAAGAAAAAAATGAAAAAAAACAGAAGGAAACAAACCATGAACCCCAGACACCCAAGAATAGAAGGAAGCCTTTCCCACACTCCTACTCCCTTCGAAGACAAGATTCTGTAAAAAGGACGTGTGGACCGAGCCCTGGGTCACGTCAGTGCATGAGATGCCAGCAGCGCCACACCCGGCCCTGAGTGTCCCAGCCAGCTTCTCTGACTGCAACCCTGGGGCTGGAGCCTGCTGGCCAGGGAGCCAGTGAAAGACTTCTTGGGGCGGCTGGTGCCTGTGGGCCTTCTGTGCAGTCCCTGTCGCACCTCCCCACCCTGTCTCCCCTCCCAATCCCCCAGGTAAAACAAATAAAGGAAGCCTGTATTCACATTACAACATGAAAATAGCACCAGAAACTTCAGAGCTAAATTGCTGATACTTGCAGCCGAGAGCTCCGTGTAGGAGGAAGGCTCTAGAAAGGCAACCACAGAGGCTGGGGTGTGTGTGGGGGAGGTGTGTGTGTGTGTGTGTGGGGGGGGATGGGGAGGAAGAACCGGTGGGAGCTGGCTGATGAGCAGTTTCTTCCCTGTCCAAATGGGAACCTGATCGTCAGGGGTCAAGGTGCACTGGAGACCAGCGCTTCTGTCGGAGGCACGGATAGTGGCCTTCACGACCATATGTCAGAGAAAGCCTGTTGTGCTCTGGGGGCCAGGTAGCTCTTCCAGGTGGAGAGCCCCCCTATTTGATCTGTAAGGCCACTTTGGAACTGCAGCAACAGCAGCAACAAGACTAAGGGGGGCCTGCTGCGATCCGACCGTGGCTGCCTCAACTTACTTCCCTGCTAGATGACATGGTGGCGGGAACCTGTGCAAACCTTCAAAGGATGGGGCACATTGGGTGCAAGGTGTGAGCTGCTCTTTCTTCAAGTTCTTGGTACTGAAAAAACAGCTGCGTGGCCTCGAAGAGCCTGCAGTTGGCTTGCCCCTCACCCTCACCTTCTAGGTTGAAAGGGTTTGCTGTCCATCAACCCCAGGCCCTGCCCAAAGCATTAGAGTCTCAGCTCCAACACTGCAGTCTGAGCATTGCCTGGTAAGTCAGCTGGATTAAGATATGGCCACCAATCAAACTATCTCAGAGGACTGAAGCTTGCCAGTGTAGACAGGAGTCCCTTATGCACTGGGTTCGTCCCCCAGCCCTTCTCCCACGCACCCTCTCACTCCTATAAATTACTCTGAGGGGTCCTTTTTTAAAGGGATCTTGAAGCTGGTTAGTCTCTGTCCGAAGAGCTGGCTGAGGAGGTCGCTCTGGGATTCAGCAGTCCAGCAGGCTCGGGGGTTGGCATGTTCAGCACCGCGGACAGCTCTGCCCCTCCTGGGGGTCCTGTGCAGGGGTCTCGCCTGGGGGAAGGCCTTGCCTAGCCCATCTTTGCTGCGTCTGAAGTCCCGGTGCGTGTGGCTGGGCTCCCCCCTCTGTTGCTCTGAGGGCTGGGGCAGTGTAGAGCTGCTCTGGCTGCTGGGCCTGGGCTTGGCAGGGAGCACACGGCTGGGAGTAGCCTGCTTCCGGGGAGCCCGGCGGGGTTTGTCAGGGACTGAAGGGGCTCTCCCCAAGCTCCCCACACTTTCACTCCTGCTTGGCCCCAGGGCCCGGCCCTTTCTCTTTTTCTCTTTGCCCTCCCTGTCCTCCCTGGGGACCAGGCTCCCTTGGGGCCTGTGGTCACCAGCTTCCCTTGGTGCCCTGGGGTAGCCCTTGGTTGGGGCTCGAGTGGGGGGCTTGTCTGGGGCGGGGCTCTGGACTGGGCAGTTGGGCTTGGCTGGGGTGGTGGCTGTCTCGCTTTGGAGCTGCCCGCTGGCTGGTTGAGGCTGGCTGCCACCTGCTGTCTTGGTGCTGTGCTGTGGCCCTCCATTGCCCTGGGAGCTGGGCTTGGCTTTGAGAGCAGTGGGCTTTTGCCTGTCCTCAGTGCCACAGGCTGGCTCTCTAGGTTTTGGGCTGGCCACGGCCTTCTTTGATTGCACCGGGAATTTGGGTGCTTTGCTGGGGATGGACAAAGTTGGCCTGTCCTTTGATGAACTCCGACAGCTCCCATGCTTGGTGGCCCTGCCCTTATGGCACTGCTTCTCCTTCCGGAGCAGGGAGGGAGCTTCTGGGCGATGGTCAGGGGCACATTTGCCAGGGGCACTCGGGGTCCTGCCTTTCCCTGAGAATAGGCCGATTGCCCTCTGTTCCTCTGTGGCTTGGCCTCTGGCCCCTTGCTGGGGCAGAAACCCCTCCAGCGAAAGAACCTGCTGGAGAAGAGGCCCAGGGCTGCCTGGGGAAGCCTTGTCTGTGGGGCTCTCCAGGGCTTGGTCTGGCTTGTGGCCATCTTTGCCATCAGCTAAGGCTGCTGGGAAAGGAGACAGAGATGGGAGAATGAGCTCCTGGGAGTCAGAGGGCAGATTGTCGTCCCTGGCCAGGTGGCCCACAGGATCCATGGGCCTCTCTGGGGTCTTGGGCTGACCCCTGGTGCCACCAGGAGCTGCCTCTAGGCAGGGCTGGAGCAGAGCTGGGAGGGATGTCTCGCTCAAAGCGGGGCTGTTGTCCAGAGACATAGACCGGTCCATGACGGGCCCAGGGGCGCTGCTGGGCGTGGCCACTCTGTGCTGTTTGCTAGGCAGTGAGCCCTCCTCGGCCTGAGCCTTCTGCCTAGAGGCGCCTGGCCTCCGCACCCCACGGAATGTGAAGGGCTGCTGCCCCTTCCTCAGGTGTTTGTCCATGTGTCGGTCAAACTGTTCCTTCTTGGCGAACGTGTAGTTGCAGGAACTGCAGATGAAGGACCGCTTGCTGATGTGGGTGACGTTGGCACAGAGCTCACAGGCATACAGTGGAGTGTGCTGCAGCTCCAGCTCCTCCTTCACCCCGTGCTCCCTGGCAAGGTGTGCACGCAGCTCGCGGGGCTCAGGGTAGACCCTTGGGCACTGCGGGCACAGGAAGACGCGCAGTGGGCTATGCACCGCCAGGTGGCGCTGCAGCTTGAAAGGCTTGGGGAACCGCTTGCCGCAGTGGTGGCAGTCTCGGGAGGGGTCCTTGCAGTCCTGGTGCACCGGGATGGTGTGGAGTAGGGGCTCTTGGTTGGAGCAGGGGGCAGGGGATGGACTGGGGCACATCTTGGTGGAGCCAGGGAGAGTGGCAGAACTGCTGGGCAGAGTGGGGTTTGGGCAGGTTGACAGGCTGCTGTTGGCTAAGGTGCTGTCTGGCGTCAAGGTGCCATCCTGGTTTGAGTTTTTGGTACGAGCCTTGGGTTTTGCCCTCTCCCTCTCTGTGGGGCCCCCATTTGCCTGGCCAACTGAGCATTTACCCCTGGGAGGTTTGGATGCCTGCCCCATGATGCTGCTCAGGAAGTGTGTGACAGTGTTGTCCCCCTCCCAGCATCCAGGTGGGTCTCCCAGGAACCTTCGTGCCGGCCCCTTTCTGGCGAATCGTAGGGCATGTTCCCGCAGGTGTTCGTTGTACATCCAGACATCGGCCACCTCCCTCAGGCACATGCCGCAGGCCCACAGCCCCGTCCGGCCCTGCACGTGCTTCTCCTGAAGGTGCTCCCGTAGCAGCTCGCGAGAGCCAAACCTGCGCTCCACACACATGTAGCAGGTGGGGGGCGGTGAGGGGCTATGGGCCAGCTTATGGAGGTCCAGCTCACCCAGGCCATGGAAGCGCTGGAAGCACACCCTGCACTTGTAGGGTGCCCTCCTGGCCTTGGCATTCCGGTCTCTGACTGGGGCCCTTCTGGCGTCGGCCACCTCCTCTGTCCTTTTGCTCCGTGGCCCCTGGGAGTTCGCTGTGGCCTTGAAGTCTAAGAAGCTCACTCTGGGGAGAGCCATGGGGTCTTTGCAGGGTCCCAGAAAGCATAGATCTTGCATCTCAAGTCTGGTGCTGAGCCTCTCAAGATCCACAGCATTCCCTGGGAGCCCACAGTTGTAGTGTTCTCTCTCCAGGTTGGGGGGCTCAGGGCTCATGTCTCCGAGAGAAGAGGCAGTCTCATCGGTGGAGGCCCGCAGCTCCAGGCCTCGCCAAGCTGCTGGGACCATGTGCAGCTCAGGGATATTCTCCGGCTGGTGGTCCTCGGCACTGCAGGAGGATTCGTGCTTGGCACAGTCCACCTCCAAGTCAGGCTCCAGGGCCCATAGGCTGGGTCCTGGGGCCCAGGGGTCAATGCCAGGCACCTTGCTGCTGAGGAAGCCCTCCAGGAGGAAGGACTCAGGCAGGCCCATGGCCTCATCACTCCATGGGTCCTCGTGGGAAAGGCAGAGGGAGCCTGAGTCACTGAGATCCGTGGGCATGTGGGTGGAGGGCAGAGCATTGCTGTCCTGGAACTCCCTACTGGGCTCCGGCAATGGCGGAGGCTTTGGCTTTTTATAGCGCTTCCCATAGACTCGGGGGTTCTTCTTCCGAGTTAAGCGATTGCCCAGAGGGAAGAGCTGGGAAAAGGAAGCTTCGTCATCAAATAAATTCAAAGCATCCCCGAGACCCAGGCCAGGGGCTTCAGGAGTGACACCTTCATGCTCCTGGACCACTCCTTGCTTGACCAGGCCTGAGGGGTGCGGTCCCAGGGAGCCTTGTAGACAACTGTTTATGGTGCCACCTGCTTCAGAACCACAAGTCTCTGGAGGGCTGGGGGGTCCCCAGGGGGGCTTGGGTCCTTCCCAGGCACCTTGCTCTGACCCACTCTCGGCTGTTGTGCTGTGCCCTGCAGGCGTACCCCCAGCTGCCCTTGACATTTCTCTGCAGACACCCGACGTCCTGGTCTCTCTGGGTCCCCAGCACCCCCTTGCCAAGGCTGCCTTCTGCTCCCCTGGCTCTTCCCCAGGAGACACCCCCTCCACCGTCCCTGGAGGGGCCACCCGGTTCCCAGGTGACTTCCATGTGGACATCTCCAGTTCTGTGGCCGTGAGGAGAGGCGGCTGTGTGACCTCAGTCTCTTGATCTGCCTCCTGTGAGAGGCAGTGGCTCAAGGGGGCTGGGCAATTGACAACAGCAGTTGATGGATTCCAGTGGCTTCTATCTGAAATCACATCAGAGGAGACTCGAGGACTACTCTCTTCCCGGAACCTTCTCGCTCTTGGCTTTTTCGATTTCTTCTTTGATTTCCCCTCTGACTCGCTGGGGATGTCCACGGGTGCTCTGCCTCGCCTCTCACCTCCTCTTCTCTCTGCCCGTTTGGGACAGGGCTCATCCCTCTGCAGCAAGTACCGTTTCCTGGCCTCTGCAGGCCTTGAGCCCACTTCTTGCTTGACTAGGCCTGAGGGGTGTGGTCCCAGGCTGGGGGGACAGCCTGGTGTTCTCACAATGCTGAGCCCCCGCCTGAGCCCCTTGGACATCTCGGGACCTGGGGCATCCTCAGGAGCTGCAGAGCCCTGGACTGGAGGTGAGCCAGCAGTGTGGCTGGGACCGCTCAGCCTGTGCCTGGGTTTCTCTTTCCCAGGTGCCCTGCGGCTTTTTTTCCTGGGGGGGAAGCTCATCTGGGCTTCGGGTTCCCCAGCTTGGGGAGCAGGCAGGGCTGGGGACCTTGGCTGGGAGGTGGCCCCGTGTAGCCTGTGCTTCCTGGCTCTGTGGCGGCTTAGGCCTGGTCCGGAACGGAAGGTGGCGGAGCAGACCTCGCAGGTCACGGGCCGCCCGCTGGGGTCTCTGTTCTTCCAGCGAATGTTCTCAGTAGACATGGGCCTATTTTTAAAGCCACAAGGCTTCTGTTTGGGGTCCTGAGGACATAGAAGGTCCCTTTGGGGCATCTGGTGGAGGACATTTCTGAGGCTCTTTGGGGAGTCGGGTCTGGAGTTGCTGGCTGTGCTGCTCAGAGAGGTGGCTCTGTCCTGGTGGAGGTCTTCATAAGGGCAGGTGACTGTTAAGTCTCCGGTGCCAGCTCCTGAGGCTTTTGTAATGCCAGGGTGCCCAGCCCCAGTTATCTGAAAGTCTACTTTGCCCTGGGTGCTGGCCCCTGCCTCACCTTCCTGGCAGGTAGGAGGCTCTGGCCCTGCTGTCATCTGGGTAGAAGGGTCAGTGGGCACAGTGGTGATGCTCTGGCCTTCCCTGTTTCTTGGGTGTTCTGAGGAGGGGTCCTTGGGCGTCCTGTCTGGGCTGGTGTTGGGCAAGGCTACCTTGCAAGGGTCTGGCCACTCAGCCCTAGGGCCTCTGACTGCCCCCATGCTATCTGAGGCGGGGATGCCAGGTAGGGCAGCAGCTGTGATGGTCACTCTTGGGGACATGGCCCTTGCTGGGGGAGGAGGGACATCATAGGCAGGAGATCCCCTTGGCTTCTCTTTTCTAGAACCCTCTAGGGGTCTTGACATGTGGCCTTCAGGGTGGTCCCCCACATGGGTGGAGATGAAGACATTGATGAAGCCGGGCTGGCTGGTGGAAGGGTCTTCCAGCGGGCTTCGTTCCCCTAGGAGACAGCGGCAAGCCAGGCTTTCCTTGAGCCCACAAGAACTTGTCCTTAAAGATGAGGCTGCCAGGCCTTCCCCAGCCTTAGCATCTGTGGGAGCTGGGATGCAGTCAGCACTTTTCAGAGCTGTACAGGCAGAGGAATAGGCTGGCAGATGCTTTGTGCTGGTGGGGTCCCCTCGGGATGGAGATGCTGGGAGCAGCACCCTCAGCTCACCCGAAGGCACCATGGAAGGGTCTTCATGGAGCAGGTGCTCAAGGTTGCAGGGAACAGGGGTGGCTGCAGAAATGGGTAAGGGGGGACAGCTGGCCACGTCTCTCATGGGGAGCTCTGGGCTCTCCCCAGTGAGCAGCAGGTGCTTCTTAAGGCCTGAACTGGCCACCTCTGGAGTCCAGTCCTCAGGCCCATTTTGGGCATGGGCTGCTCTCAAGGCCGGAGCCAAAGAATCCACATCAGAGGAAGTGGGGCTGGGGGTGGACTGTGCCTCGTTCTGAAGGCCCAAGTTCAGTCTGCTTCCCTGGACCTGCCCTCCTAGCTGGTCTGCAGCCCCAACCGGGCTGGCCAGTGTGGTTTCAGGATCAGCATTGACTGTGGTGAGGTTGTCAGCTCTCCCTGGGCTCCCCCAGTTATCTGGTTGCAGCTGGCTGGCTTTGCCTTGGCTTTTGAGCTTCTCAGCCTGGCTGAGTGAGCCCAGATGGTCATCTGCCTCTGGCCTCAGCTGACATTGGGCCATTGCAGGGATAGCTGCCATCTGAACACCCCCATCCGAGGCCTTGGCAGTGATGTGGGCCACATTCCCACATTCCATGCTGTCCCTTTCCACATCTGAAGGGTTGTTCTGTTGAGGACTCTGGGCACTGGCAAGCCGGGGCCCCTGTAAGCCCTGGGTGTCATCTTCACTCACAGCTGCTCTGGCCACCAGGAGCTGGAGTTGATGTAGGGGGCTTTCATCTGGGTCCTGGGGCCTCCTGCAAGGACTGGAGTTGGGAATGCAGGCAGATCTTGGAGAGGCTCCTGCTGGTACAAACTCCTTGTTACCCTCAGAGCCAAGGCCCTCTGCTACAGGGTGGAAGGGACCTGCTTCTTCTGGCCCATCTGTCCTGCTTGGAGAATGTCCGTTGAGGACCTCCCTGTGACTGACACCAGAAGGTGGAGTGGCACTTGGATATAGAACCTTGGCACCCCGAAATGTCAAGTGAGGTGCCAGATGGGCAACAGGGCTGTTGAGCGCTTCCAGCTCTGGGACATCTTGGCCAGGCCCCTGAGCCTTGCAGGATCCTGGGAGCAGCTCTCTTCTCCGAGTGCAGGGAAGGGGCAGCAAGGCGTCTTCGTTGTGATGGATTCTGGTGGCCTTGTCATTTTTAAGATGTAAAGGCTCATGGTTTAGGCTGCACTTTACTAAACTCCCCCTGTCCGATGGGGGGTTGAGTGGCTCTCCGGGGCCCGGTAGACAGGCTTCTGGGCAGCCCCTGCAGCCCTCTTCTGCCTCAGGGAGCCCTCTCCTGGAGACTCTGCTGTTCTGCGCTGGCTGGAAACTGAGGCTAACCCCAGTGGGGCTGAAAGAAGCTCCAGAAACCTGGTCTTTGTGGGTAGTAGGAGGAGGGGCTGCTTCTCCCTGCTGAAACGAGGGCCACTCCTCCTCGGGGCTCTCTAGAGTCCCCTTTGTGGTGGCCATGGGTGTTTCTGCTCCCTCCTGGCGTGGACTCAGTTCCCCAAGGCCAGTGAGGTCAGCCGCGGAGAATGAGTCCTTTCGGGGTGAGGCAGCCTGGTGGGTGGGCAGGGGGGTGCCTGTGCCCGAGAGCATTCTGCCTGTGTGCTGAGCTCCACGCGGCTCTCCTGTGTCCTCATGCACACCTTTACTTTGCAGCTGACTTTCTAATTCAGTGACCAGCCTTTTGATCTCTAATTCATCCTCAGACAGGTTGCTCATAAAAGCAATGCTACATTCGCTAACCTTGGAAGGCAAAGGGGGAGGGGTGGTGGCTCCTGTCCTTTCACGAGGACACTTCTTACTGAAAGCCTTTGCCCCCGAGAGGTCAGGAAAATGGCCCAGGTGGCTGGATAGCACTGGGGAAGCTTCCTCCAGCAGGGACCAGCCCTTCTCAGGCAGAAATGAGGGGTATGACGGGTCTAGCTGGGCTTTCTTCTGGGGAGGATCGATGTACGTGGATGGTGAGTGTGCATCCCCGTTTCCAGACAGGCTGCTGTAGATTGGCGAATCGAAGTCGTCCACGGGCAGCCCAGAGAGGAGGGGCGTGGACTCCAAGGTCAGTGGTGATTCGGCTTTGCCTGGGTCTGTGTCGACTGTGTAGGGTGGACTCCCGGGAGGTTTTGGCTTGAGGGAACTGGCGTCTACACCCTCCTGGCACAGGTGCATGCTGCTGGCTGAAGGCGTGTCCGGAGCTAAGGGCTTGGAGTACAAGTCTTTGGGGAAACAGCCAGCCAGGTCTTTGGGGCCAAGGAGCAATTCGCTGGGGGGACTGCTATAGGGCTGGGGCCCCTTTTTGGCAGCTGGAACAGTGGAGTCTCTGTTAAAAAGAGCAGAGTTACATCCAAGATCAGGGGTCTTTAAAAACACAATGCTAGGCTGGGGGTAGGCAGCAGAGGTGTTAGTGATGGGGACCAGCAATTCTCCTGGCAGGTAGGCAGGGGGGTCCTCTTTTTCACGAGAGATGGGGGGTTCTGTGCACCTGGGGACACCCAGCAGATTGCCTGCACCTGGTGCTGATGAGCTCCTGTGGGGCGCCATGGTGTCCTCTCTGCCTGGCTGTGGTTGCTCTGGGGCTGGGGAACAGAGACTTCCTTCCACACAGGTGGACGGAGGAGAGCCGGAAACATCTCTGAGAAGCTTTGTGGTGTCAGGAGGAACATCTTCTTGAAGGCAGTCCAGCGATGCATGGTTTTCCTCTGGGGTCTTGGTGCTGGTGGGAACCTGCAGGATACACTTGGGGTCTCTCTCCTTAGGGTTCTCTCTGGTCTCAGGGCTTTGCAGTGGGCCCTGAGCCTTGGGACTCTCAGTGGGGCCTGGGGAAGGCCTGCCTGGCTTTGCAGTTTCCTGCCTCACCTTCCTGGATTTCTGCTGCTGTTGATCTTCTCTAGGACCCAGGGCCAAGTCCATTTCCTTCCTCTTCTCACCTTGGCGCCGCCGACGCCGGCTGCTGTGGCGGGACTGGCCCCTGAAGCGAGAGCCCCGCGGCTGCAAGTTGTCTTCTTCCTCGGACTCTGAGGCGTAGTCGTATTCCTGGAGACTGCCGTCCAAGGTGCTGGGTGCGGGCCTCTCAGTCGCCAGGGAGAAGCACCTGCCCTGGCCATGCTGTGCCTGCCGCTTGTGCAGCTGATTCTTCTGCTGCACAATCTTGTGGATGAGCTCCTTGCTCCAGGTGCCACCCCAGGCCTTCCTCCTCCTGGAATCCTTCCCCAGGGACAGTCGAAGGCGCTTGGAGCTCCTGGTCTCCACTGGGAGGACCCTACCACAGGTATCTGTGTGGCTCTTGGGGGCTTGGGTCCTGAGGTCCCGGGGGTGGGGTGGAGCTGGCTCAGCCCTGTTGCCCTTTCTCCTGGGCCTCAGGCAGGCGGCTCTAGTGCTCCTGCCTGACCTCTTAGCAGTGTTGACTGTGTCCAGCTCTCCCTGGAAAAACTTAAACTGCTTCCCTCTCCTCTGCTGGCTGGCCAGGCTGACCCCATCTGCCTCCGCAGGCACTGGGCCCAGGGATCGAGTTTTGGGCCTACTGCAGGCCAAGTAGTTCCCATCACCAGGGCGAGGGGCCTGGGACTCTGGGGCTGGGGCTGGGAGCTGAGTTTTGTTCTCTGGCATGACCCCCACCCTGGTCTTGGGGGGCAGCCCAATACTGGGACCTCTGGGGCCAGAAGGTTCTTCGTCGGTGAAGACGTCGATGAAGCTGCTGTCGATCTCAGGGTTGTCTGACTGGTATTCCAGGCCGTTGAGTGCCTCAGTGATGAGGCTGTCCAGCTTGGCATCATCCTCCAGGTCCAGGTCCCCAGCAGAGAGTGGGAAGGGGGCAGTGGCCAGGCTGGGCAAGAAACCTGTCCTCAGGGGGTCATCTTTGCCATCCACCCGGACTTCTCCCCCTAGCAGGAAGGGGACCGTCTTAGTGTGGCCGAGCAGGCTTGGGTTCCCACTTGCTGGTGCTTTGGGGGCAGCCAGCACAGAGGGGGCAGTGGGAGGCGTGGGGATCTCCGAGGGCTGCTGGTGGCTGTCCTTGGTCCTGGCCAGGAGCAGGCTGCAAAACTGCCGGTGCTCCAGGAAGGTGGCCAGGCTGCTGTAGTTTCGGTCGCACTGCTTGCAAGTGAGCAGTACGTCCAGCTGGTCCAGGCTGGCGCTGCTGAGGGGGAAGTGGTGGGAAGAGTAGGGCGGTGGCTCTGGGGGGAAGCCCTCCAGCGCCCTGCTGCCCACCTTGGGGCCCCCACTGCGGAATGGGGCCTCCTCCAGGCATTTGAAGGTGCCCTCGGCCCCCAGCCCATCTGTGGGGAAAGGGAAGGTCTTGACTGGCTCTGGCTGGTAGTGGATGGGGAGGGCATTTGAGGTCTCAGGGGATGGGAAGGGACTGCTGTTCTCCTGGGGGTGATTGCGGGGGTGGAAGAAGGCAGAGGGCCCTAGTGGGCCAGGGAGCTGGCTCTCCTCTGAGCTGGGGTTGGCTGGGCTGCTGGACAGCGGTGACAGTGATGAGCAGGTGCTGCTGCCAGCTGTGTTGGTGGCCGGTGAGGGCAGTGGAGACTCACTGGGAGAGGCTCCCACCAGCCTGGGTGGGGGCAGGTTGGGGGTCCCTTGGGGTGAGACCTGGGGCTGAGCCACCCCAAAGAACAGGGGCTGGGCTCCAGGGTCCTGCAGCCCATTGTAGGTGAACAGCCCTGGGGAACTGCTGCTGTGCTGGCCCTGGCTGTTTCTCAGCACTGCTGGCTTCTCCCCTGGTCCAGGTGTCTTGCTGGCAGCACCCAGGGCTACCTGGCTGCTCCCCTGCCACTCAGGGGCCCCTGGGGGAAAAGGCAGCCGGCTCAGCATCTCCACTTGATGGGGGCTGGGTCTGGTGCCTGGGAGCACCTGGGGCCAGGGCAGTGTGGGGCTCTGGGGGAGGCCAAGCCGCTGGTTTGGGCTGGGCTGGCCTTCAAAGAACACACTCCTAGTGGTGGCTGGGGGACCCAGGGGAGGTGTGGGGTAAGGGGCTCTGGTGGGATCCCACAGCTGGGGCAATCTGGTGGGCGGAGGCCCAGGTGTGGCCAGCTCTGTGTCCAGAGACCTAGGACTGGTGCTCATCCCACTTGCTCTTGGGCTCCCATAAGCCTGCCCAGGAAAGTGCCTCTGTGGCAGAGAGTTTGGGGGTCCCCTGGGGCTCCCCAGCCCATTGTGGGCAGAAGGTGGTCTCTCAGGGAGGGCTTTGGTCAGGCTCTTGTGCAAACTGTCTGGGAAGGTGACTGTGCTTTCTGAGAAGGGGTTGGGGGCTGGGTGAGCAGCACCAGTTGTGGAGAGAACACGGTGGAGGTCATTGGCAGGGTCAAGGCGTCCCGGCTGGCTGGAGTAGCAGGGCGGTGGTGGGGCAGCAGGCTGGGTGGGCAGGGGGTAGCCCATGCCTGTGCCCACTGCCTCCTCCTGCCATTCAGCCCGAGGCTGGTGGAAGGCAAACACCAGTGCCCTCTCAGAGTACTCAGGCCCCGCCGTGTCCTTGGGGAAGGACTTTGGGCCAGCCCCATGCAGCACTGGGAAGGGGATCTGGAAGGAGGCCACCCTGGGACTGCCACCTTCAGGAAAGGGCTCCTGCTCTGTGGGAAGGACCCTGAAACTAGCACCTGGGAAGTTGTTCTCAGCAGTGGAAGGCCAGGTGTCGGCCCCACTGGCCTGGAATTCTGAGTAGGAGGCTGGCCTGCAGGGGCTGGTGTCATTGCTCTGGGGGGCCCTAAGGGGTGGGGGGCCTGGGGTGGCACTCGGTGAGGTATAATTGGTAGAGGTAAAGCTGGAGGGTGTCTCCTGGAAGCACCTTTGGAAGTTGAGCTCTTCTGGGGCAGGAGGGGCCTCTGCCTCTGGGGGTCGGGGGGCCTCACACTGTGGGCCCTCAGGGGAATCACGTAGGCCAGGTCTGGCCCTTGAGCCCGAAATGCTCAGAGTGTAGAGCTGCTGGGGGCTGCTATCTGCCCTGCTGGCTGCGCACTGTGTGGGAACCTGTGTGTGGCTCCTCCCTAGTGGAGCCCGGGGGCTGCCACCCTTCCTGGGGGGGCTGCTTAGGGGCTGGGTTCTCAGCAGGGGAGTCTTGGGCTCCACTTCCCTAGCCTGCTCAGGCTGGGTATCAGGGGGCTCCATGGCTTGGGTCCCGCTACCCGCTTCCCTTGAGGCCTTGGCGGTCCTGTTGGCTGGGGCACCGTCCTCGCCGGCGGGCTGGGTGGCTGTGCCACTGGCCATGCCACTGGTTGTTTGGCAGGACTGCAGGCCTCTGGTCGCGGTTGGGGGTGGCGCTCCGCGGGGCTGCTCCCCAGGCATGGCCCCTCCCTCTGGTCGCTAGGAAGATGCAGTGGTCCGAGGGGGTCCGTAGGGAGTGGGCTGGGAGGCCATCCTTGCCCCTTGGGGGGCCCTGGAGAAACCTGCTCTCATGGTCCTGGGTGGAGCCTGAAAGGAAAAGACAGGAGTGAGTAGGGAGCCGTGGAGGCTCCATGGCTCCCATGGAAGCCGTGACAGGCTGGGAGTGGAAGCAGCTGGCACAAAAGCCACTCCCTTTAGAGGACGGGGCTCTGCTCTGATGGCACTTTGAGAGATAAGAGGAGAAAAGTTCACTGCCAGACTGAGCAAGGGGTTGAGGGTGGGGGGAGAAAGAGAGAGAAAGGAAAAAAGTGCTGTCTGGGGTCTGAGGGTCTGAGACCTCTGGCCACCTCAGAGCAGCCTTGTTCCGCTCTTGCCAGCCTATGAGCGAAAGGCCCCAGACCTGCAGAGGTGCCATGACAGGGATAAGGAACACTTGGTGGCCATCTGTGGCTTGAGCTACGGCCCAGGTGGGGTCAGGCGACAGCCCAGGCAGGACAGAGGGGACACCTTCCCCTGCTGAGAGGAGGGGGCTCACATCAGAAGCCGAGCTGGGAAATCAGGGGTGAGACTATGCACACCGGAATCTGGCCTGAGGCTCGCACCTGGTCCTGTGATGGTCTTGCAGCTGGTGGGCACAGGACAACCTCAAGCCACTAGCTCTGGGGACCAACTGGTCAGCTCTCCAGATGGGGTCTGCATCTGTATTTCTAGGCAGTGCCAGGCACTGCTGGTGCTTCCTCCCTGTGTTTGAAGACCTGCCCAAGGATCATACCCACTGAGGAGGGGTGTTTTGCCTGATTCGGGGCACAAGCATCCCTGTCTCTCCTAGGCGGGGATGGTTCCAGTACTGTCTCCCTTTCCCCCTAGCCAGCCCCATAGACCCCCCATCCCAGCAGCCTGGGTGCCCCTCCCCTCTTAGGCAAAGGTCTCACCCCCTCTTCTGGGCCCCGCTGCCTGGGGCCAGTCCTCGACGCTCCTTTCTATCTCAAGACTGGGAGACCTTGGGGCAAGGGCTTGTGGGTGAAGTCTGTTGAATGAATGAACGATAGCAGTGAGAGCATGAGCGTCTTCTGAGCATTTGGCCAGGGGCCAGGGAGTTGAGCAATTTCTGTCAATCACTTCTCTTGTCCTCCCAGTGGCTCTGGAGGTCAGACTATTAGAGCTCGGGGAGGTGAGTAACTTACCCTGGGCCTCACAGCTAGCGGAGGGCACTAGGTATCCCCAGGAAGGGCCACCTCCAGCCAAGTTACACATGGTCTGGACACCTGATCAGGGCCAGGCTGTGCCCGGTGTGGAGACAGCAGCAGCGTGGGCCCCTCATGAAGCCCCTGCACAAGAGAGGGCAGGGCCTGTGCAATGCCATCCTCCCTGCTGGACTTTGAACCGCCCAGGGCAAGTCCTGGCTCAGCCGCTGACCTGCTGTGGGACCTGGGACTAGTCTCTCAGCATCCCTGAGTCTGGAAAATGGGGATCCCAGGAGAGTGTCGATGGGCTGTTGTGAAACGATACAAGTCACTGTGTCCAAACTGCAGAATAGGTCCCTTGTGGATCATTTGCTGTTCGTGTGGTTTTCTGACTATCCCTGCTTCTGCCTGAGCCTGGGGCCCTCGAACTGGGGAGCCTGCAGTTTATTCTCTGCCTCATCCCCACCGCACGGGGACTGGCACACAGTAGGCACTCAAGATTAAGGAAAGGTCAGTTCCCACAGCCTTGAAATAGGGGTGGTACTGGTGCCACCCTCACAGGGTCGTGGCAGGTGAGGTCAGAGTCGTCGTTAGACAGTGAGCCCCGCGGGTCCAGGCTCCACGCAGCCTCTGAGAGGGGCAGGCGGGTGGGTCCTGGTTCTGATTCTCCCGACAGTGCCTGGCTGCGCACCCCAGGCACCTCGCCCAGCCTCCGCTTCTCCGTCTGTGATCGGGGAGAGGCACTGGAACCTATCTCAAAGGGTTGTGGCAAGGGAGAAATCGGTGAATCACCTCTTCATAAAGCATTTGGCAGAGGGCGTGGCGGGGACCAACGTACTTTCCCTGTTCATACTGTAACTGTCAAGTCCTGTCACCCCTCTGTGCCCCGATTTGCTCGTCAGCACGAAGGACATGTAGTGAGGAGACTACAGGAAGGGGGCTGTGGGGAGAGGCTGAGTGGGGTCTGAAAATGGGGAGAAGTTGCTAATTTGTTGGTTTGAAACAGCTGTGCCCAGCCCCCCCAGGAAAGGAGGGGTCTGATCCGAGGAGGCCTGCCTTGCTGGCCCCGGGGGAACTTCAGCTGACAAGCGCTGCTGCCTGCAGTCCTCTCACCCCAGCCCAGGGCTGCGGTTAGAAGCCACGAGTCGGCTCCTGACAGCTGGCTCGGGACACGGTCTCTTAGGGAGGCAGCTGGCAGCCCCAATTACCGCCTGAGCGGGGACACGGAAGGAGCCGGGCGGTGGGGCGGGTGGGGAGGCTGGGGCGAGGGCATCTCCGGCCGGGTGGCGACCTGCCAGCCTCCAGGCCAGCTGTCCTCTACATACCTGGGGAGAGGGGCCCTCAGCTGGGTCGCTGCACAGCTTCCTGAGGAATGAGGACTTCTTGGCTGCAAGGAAAATGGAAATCGTGTCAGAATCCATGTGGTGCTTGGCTGGGGGCCAAGAGACCCGGGAGAAGCTGGGAGGGGGGAGCAGCTTCCAGGCGAGGCCCCCCACCCCAATGCTATGCAGAGCCAGGGGGCCCCAGGGGGCCAGGAAACTGTTAAGGAGAGACGGTGGGCACAGGAGGCCCGTAGGCAGCTCAGCCTGGCAGGGGAGCCCTGCAGGGCTGTGGGTCAGCCGGCTGCCTTTGCCCCAGGGTTGTTGATTGTTTTACATTTCTTTTTGTTAAGTTCTTATGCATAGATGACACATCTGTGTGGCTCCTAAACTTGAAACAGTGTTCAAGGTCTGCAGTGAGAATTCCCACCCCGTACCCTGGCTGGTTGGCTCTTCCCCTGTCCAGCTTTGTAAAGCACTCGGCAACTTCTTGTGTTTCTTCCCAGAGTTCTTGATGTAAATACCAACAAATCCCATTTCCCCCTTTCTTAACAAAAGATCATCTACTGAACTCACTGTTCCACACCTTTTTTGCATTTAACAACGCCTCTTGGAGATAATTCCACAGCACTCCACAGATGTCTGTCTCTCCACCACACACAGCTATGGGATTCTCCGCAGAATGGATGGACAGCTATTTAGGTATCCAGACCCCTCCAGATGGACACCCGGTTGTCCTATACTGGGCTCACAAGCAACAGAGCAATGAATCTGCATGCCAGTGAGACCCACGGGGTAAACACTAAGAAGAGATGGTGGGGTAAAAGGGCAAGTGCATGTGTGATTTGGAGAGAGATTGTCAAATAAATTCCTGGGGTGGTTTTAAAATCTGGCCACAAATTTTTCAATCCTCATTCCTTGAAAAGGTAGGGCCCAGTTTCCTCTTCTCAAACGTGGGCTGGACCCAGTGACTTGCTGCTGATGAGCAAAATATAGTGGAAGTGAGGGTGCTGGACTTTAGAAATTAGGCCATAAAGGGCACTGTGGCTTCTGCCTTGCTCTCTGTCTGATCTCTCACTTGGGGGAGCCATGTCATGAGGACACACAAGCAGCCCTGTGGAGGGTCCATGTGGGAAGGAACTGAGACCTCCTTCCTACAGCTGCGTGAGAAGCCACCTTGGTAGCAGCTCCTCCAGCCCCAGTTGAGCCTTCAGATGAGACTGCAGCCCCTGCTGACATTCCAGCTGCAATTTCTTGGGAGGCCCCGAGTCAGACCACCCAGCTGAGATGGGCCCAAATCCCTGATCTACAGAAACTATAAATAATGGTATTGTTTTAAGCTGCTATGTGTTACACAGCAACAGGCAACTAGTCTGTTAGTACAACCCTGTGGGGTTGCACCTACTTGCACTCTTGACAGAGTAGAGAACCCTAGGCTTTAATGTAAGTCCTAGCATTGCAGTGCACCCTTTCCTGGCAGAGGTGGGCAGGCAGAAGCCTGGCAAGGGAGGAGGACCATAGGATGCCACTGGTGACTCAGTGGAAGAGCTTTCACTATACCTTCCCATTCATTCATTCATTCATTCATTCATTCATTCACTCACTCACTCACTCACTCACAGATCTGCATGTTTGTGTAAGACGCTGCATGAGGCATGGGCATACAATGGTGAGTGACTGATTCATGGCCTCTGTGTCATGGAGCTTACAGGAAAAGTCAATAGATAACTACAGATAAGGAAACCGAGGCTGAGAGAGGTGGTATACTTGTCCAGGTCACACAGCACATAGTGAAGCACACAGGGAGGTGAAGCAGGCCTGCCCCATGCCTGGCAGAGTGGCTCATTGCCTAGGTCCTGCCTTAGTGACTCCTTCCCACACCAAACCTGTGGGCAGCGCTCAGACACCCCATCATAACGTTTTCCTCAGCCCCAGGACCGTGGGCCTGATGTTATGCCTGCAGCACCCAGGCCTCTTAAAGCCAGCTGCCCCTCCACGGGTTTGAGGACCAGTCTTTGGTGCTCAGACCGTGGGGCAGGTGAGGGGCAGCATGTGCCCTAGGTCTCGGGTTCCCACCCCCGCCCAGGCTCTTGGCAAAGCCCCTTGGTGCGTGTTGGTGTGGGTTTCAGTAGCCTGGGGCTCCTTTGAAGTCAGGAGATCCAATCCCCCAGATCCGGGGCTGCCCCAGGGAACCCCAGGAGTGCAGGCATCTCCTTTCCCTCAGAAACATTACCTGGCTCCTATCCTAACAGGCCTGGTCCCAGAGCTGCAGGTAACTCAAGACCACAGTGGCGTTGGCTGGCTCCGGCTTGGGGTGTTGGCGGCAGCTCCTGGTGAGAGTAGTCCTGCTACAGGCCCTGGTCTCTGCTGTCCCTGTGTCTCCACCCCATGACCCACCAGCCCTTTGCACAGTGGCCTCTGCTCCTGACCCCCTTCCCTCACCTCCTCTTTCAACCTG